GTCTGGGTCGGCCTGCTTGACCTGCTGCCACCGCGACCCGACCCCGGATAAGCGGTGGAAAATGGATGGATGGATGGATGTTGCAAAGGATTAAGCAACATCTCTTAGCATGTGCAGAATGTTCTCCTTGAGTACAACAGCATCATCATTATCTCTTACCAGCAACTCTTCCTTGTTTCTTCTAAAAACAATGAGAAGGCCAGTGTCCACTCCTTTTGTAGCCCACTTTCGAACTGGAAGTCTAAAGAATAAAACACAATATTCAATAATTAAGTATGTACCGTCACTATACCAAACTTTATTTACTATCTATGTTGGTAGTCAATGACACAGGCAGCATTATGATATATTCTGCATAACACCAAATTATGTGGTGCCATTATACCTAAATAGAAAAATCCTACTGCAAGAAACCTAGGTATTAATTAGATAATAGATATTTCAATGTAATTTGTTGTTCGTCTAATAGTAAGCTGTATAGTGTCTAGTTTTCGTACTTAGCTTTAAGGGATAAGACCATAATAAGGCATGATTATTTTTGTTTTAACAAATCCCATGAAAAGAAATAGGCTAAACAATACATTTTCTCTTTGACAACAATATGTGTAGTTTTAGCTAGTACAGATTTACCTACCGCAATCAGGTATATGCTAAATAGGACATAGTTGCTCTGTGAAAATGACAATGCATTCATCTGAGATATATTATATAGTAGCATTATAAGGCCTATAAAACAATATTTTGACTGATAGGAGGGACAAAAGTGTGTGAATATTTAAACTTTGTGATGCTTTTATTGATTACATATGTTTCCATTTATAAGAGCAGGATGAGTTATCATTCAGAATTTTTAATGTGTTTACAATACATACAGTACATACATACACAAGTAGAGCCTTTGGTTGGCTGAAGAAAATGTGCGTAATTTGCAGATCCAATTCATACGACTTACAGGATAAGTTGTTCCATCGTACTCAGTGCAGCCTCTGAAAATAATAGTCAAACTCAGATTGACATTTCCATACTTTCAGTAATGTCCGTTCATATTTGCCAAATAGCTTTCTGTGTTTCTGTAGCTGTCATTCCTGCACATAAACTATGAATAATTGCTCCACAAATGTCCAAGATGAACGTCATATGAAAAAAATCATGTCATACTTTTCCATTTTTAGCTGGTAATATTGAATTGCAAGGAATAATCTCAGCTAAACAAGTATTACAGTACAAACTCTTTCTACAAATGTATATTCAATAGTCAAATTAGATTTGGCAAAAGTAGACCACACACAGGAGTTGCCATTCAATGTCATTGAAGGCTCTACATGAACAGTGGAAGAACGGGTGAATACAATTTTTTTATTTTTTTAAATATTCTCAAAATTATATTCAAATATAGATAAAAAGCAAATTGCTGTTGAGTCACATCTGAAAATTTAAAATTAAACCCAATGTCAAATGTGAAATTCTGCTGGAAAATCCACTGAGCTTATTATTAAGAAGTATACATGAAAATTGTACTGTATACTCATTCAGTATGATCATACCAGGATGGCAAAAACATGTACACTGTCTATCAACCATTTGCTATGTTAACTACAGTAGCCTAGCTAAAAATTACACAAGTTCTAAAATTGTCCAAAAACAAAGTTGGGTTTTTAGATTACATTGACAATCCTGTGTAACATGTATCTAGTTTACCTGTTCAACGCATGGTCTTTTCATAAATACAAGAAAGGTAAACGTTTGTTCTTACCTTGAGAACTCCTGATCCAAAATTAAGTTTCTTGTGGCACATGGCATTGTAGGAGGTGGGCGGTCTTTGTTTGCTGGTTGGGGTTGCCTATGCATTTTTGCAGGGGCAACACATACATAGAGTTGAGTCAACAAAGAAATCTATGTTGCATGAACTACAAGCAACACAGGAAGGAAGATCACATGGTACAGGTCCCTAGGTATAAAACAGCTGGTGATGGATCAGTAAGGCAATCAGTCACTTGTCTTCAGAGTTGATCTGTTTTCGGGTGTGCTGGTTGTTCAGCGCCACGCTCTGATTGTGGTTCGATTCCTCTAGGTCTTTTGTTTGGCTGCGCTCAGACTGCAACATGTGGAGGATTGGGAACATGTAAGTTCATTTTGATTCTTTGTTTCAAAGACTGCTAGCTGCACACTTAATGTCTCTAAACTATGTGTTGTACTCGTTTAAGTTTGTTATGGAACTTGATGGCTGCAGTAATCCTCTTGGGTCAAGCAATGCCAAATATGAAGCTCAATTCTCAGTCAAGTAAGCCTGAATTAAAACCAAATGGCTTTACCACTGTTATTGTTAAAGAACGTTTACTCTTCCTCACAAGCCTTTTCTTTAACAGGCAGTGGTTTACGGTCAGACTGTGTGGGTAATCTAATGAGGCTTTCATTGGACAAGGCCCTAGCAGTGGGGAACGAGCTTGAGGTTGAAGCTGTCGGTGAGTATACAATCTGCTAATGAACATGATTGGCTCATCAGTAGGAGAGTAAAGTCCTGTCACGGTTTTCTTCCCCCCCCCCCAAGATGGCACCCAGCACACTGTGTTGACACCCATCTTGGCTGCTCAGTGTGGATACAGCATGGAGTCTGAC